AAAAATTCTCTGTAGCTATGATGATGGTTGAACAGCAACTAGTTACGTTAGGTGATTTTTTTTCTTTTTTCGAGGATCTACAAAGTTAATTGATTGCATTTTTTTCGGGTCATGGCTTTTAACGCTAATGAAGTAGGTGACGGTTGCTCATCTCCCGCGTTGCGTGAATATTGCATGCAGTCACGAACGTACGTGAGGGCGTGTCTGCACGCGGCGAGAGCGGAGTCACGGCCATCCATACGTGACGTCAATGAGGGGGGGGGTGACGCCCGTGGCAACGTACGGGCGGCGGAGTTGCCTGTCCCGTTAGCTCGCTCCTTCGCTGCCATGACGGAGCGGCGGCCATTACCATAAGCGATCATTTTTGTCGAGGGTTTTCCCGGGAACAAGACGGTGTGCGAGAGTAGCGGCCGGAAGTCACCTGGGGGAAGGGGAGTCGGGGGGAGGGGGGTACGGTGGCAGGTAGACGAAGGGGGAGGTTTTGGGGTGACCTGAAATAACAGCTGACCGACGAGGAAAGTGCGACCTGATTTGTTGCTTGTGGATTCTTTGTCTCTTTGTCTCTCTCTCTCTCTCTCTCTCTCTCTCTCTCTCTCTCTCTCTCTCTCTCTCTCTCTTCTCTTCTCTCCTCTCTCCTCTCTCCCTCTCTCTCCCCTCTCTCCTCTCCTCTCCTCCCTCCCTCCCTCCTCCCCTCCTCCCTCCCTCCCTCCTCCCTCTCTCTCTCCTCCCTTCTACTCTCTCTCTCTCCTCTCTTCTCTCTTCTCTCTCTCTCTCTCTCTCTCTCTCTCTCTTCTCTTCTCTCCTCTCTCTCTCTCTCCTCTCCTCCTCTCCCTCTCTCTCTCTCCCTCTCTCTGTCTCCCTTCTTCGTCCTTTTCTATCTTGTTCGTTCCTTTTTCCTCCCTCCATTCCACCAACTTTCCTCCTCCATTAAAAAGAAACAAAAAACAAAAAAAACAAAAACGAAAAGAACATCTCAAAGATTTTTTTCCTCCCGTTCACCCTTTCCCCTCTAGTAAAAAAAAAAAAATCTCAACCAAGGTCTCTGCCGTTTCCGCGAAGTTTCCCCTCTCTCGCCGTCGACTGAGCCCCTGTGGATGGCCCGGCTGTGTCCGTTCGGCGAGTGCACGTCCTTCGGGGTGCTTGGATGTGCTTGTCTGTTTGTTTGATTGTTTTGGTATTTTGTGTGGTGGGCGGGGGAGGGGGGAGGTATGGGGTGTTTTGTTTTGGCCGAAGTGTTTTTTTTTTTCGATGTCACGCAAATGGGGAGATATTCTTGTATTCAGTATTTGTGATTTTTGTTATTGTTATTTTTATTATTATTGGTTTTGTTATTACTCTTATTGTAAACATTATTATTATTATTATTATTATTATTATTATTATTATTATTATTATTATTATTTTTATTTATTATTATTATTATTGTTTGTTGTTTGTTTGTTGTTGGTGTTGTTAATTATTTTATTATATTGTTTGTGTTGTTGTTGTTGCCGTTGTGTTTTCTCATTAATATTATTGTTATTTGGTTTTCAGTATCATCATTATTGTTGTTATTTTATTATCATCATTATTATTATTGATATTACTATTAATATTATTGTTGTTAATATTATTAGTAAATCATTGATTATCATTATTGGTTTTGTTGTTGTTGTTGTTATTATTATTATTATTAAATTATTATTATTAATTAATTATAATTAATTATTATTATTATTTATTATTATTATATTACCACCACCTACCATCACCATCCCATCCCTAACCACCCACCATAACTACTATTCTACTACTATTTACTATTTGCGTGTGGAGGCGGTTGTAGGGGAGAGGTGGATAGGGGGTGAGGGAGAGGCAAGGGGTGAGGGAGAGGGAAGAAGGTGAGGGAGAGGGAGGGGAAGAAGAGAGAGGAGAGAGAGAGAGAGAGAGAGAGAGAGAAGAGAGAGGAGAGAGAGAGAGAG